AATCTGATGCAACTCTTTATAGACACCAATCAGCTTCAGGTTTTATTGCCAAAGCTTAATTGAACAATCTGAAGTTAGAAGCTGATTGGCTACCATGCACATCTGCAACAGATTCTGAGTGCACCAGTTTTAGTAAATCTCCCCCATGGAGTCTGATACATTAGTAAATACATTATATAGGTGTAGGCTACCTATAAAAAAATTCTATTTGTTTCCTTGGTTACCCTAACTTTTTCTGAGGATTACAGTAGGTCCTGGAATTCAGAAGCTAGAGGCCAAATTAACCGCTTGACCTCCAGAAGGTTTTACCCCCTTCATGACTGGGGCATTTTTTGCTATTGAGCACTACGCTACTTTAACTGGCAATTGCTCGGTAATGCAACGCTGTACCCAAATTACATTTAGATCATTTCTTTTAACACAAATAGAGCTTTCTCTTGGTGGTATTTAATCACCAGTGGGTTTTTTTCTTTTTTTGATATATAAAGGAAAAAAAATAAAAACATTTTGAAAAAAAAAAAAAAAACATTTTTATTAGTTACTGTTATAAAATTTGCAAATAAATAATCTTTCTTCATAAAATTTAGGCCAAAATGTAGTCTACTATATTTCTTTGGTAAAAATAACCCAAATCAGAGCATATTATTTAGTTTGTGTGAAAGTTATACAGTCTACAAACTAGAGCAGGGGTAGGCAACCTTAAATAAGGTGGAGTTCTACCTAAACAACATGGGAGAAGTTAAAGATCACCAGGCACAGTGTTGCCCGGTGTCACCTCCTCTGACTGGATTTAAGCCTCTAATTGCCATACTACCATGTTGCAATCGTATGCATTGCATGGCAATCGTGAGTTCAAATCAAGTGGTGAGGAAGCAGCCTATTGTCTCCTTGCCACCTGTCAAACACACTCGGATCGCTTTTCAGAGAAGCACCAGTACCTGCTGCACTTGTGAATGAGCCCTTAGTTGCATTCGGCAGCACCACCCTTAGAAATTGTTCACACATAAAGCTGGGGGTGGTAAAACTTTGCAGTTGAGTCACAATTTTACAACCCCCAATCTCTACCCCCCTTAGCTGCTGAGGCAGCAGCCAAAGGTGTACACATGCTGCCGCAGGAATTAAACCCTCTGTTGCTTTTGGTGGGTGCTATTGCCTGGCAATCATGACCCTTTCAAGTAAATGGGGCCTTCTGCAAGCGCACTCACAACTGCATGCTTCTGCAGGGTTCAATGGGTTAGCAGGTGGTGAAAAAGCAACACAACTTTGCCTGCTTTAACCCCTTGTTTTTTGTACTGCACAAAATTGCAGGACACTTGCAGAGCGGCCTCATTCACTGGGTCATGTGAATGGGTCATGCTTGGCAGGTGCTACACCCAAGAACCATGATAATGCATATAACAACTACTGCGGCTGCGACATGTGTACACCCCTGGTCACTGCAGCTAATGGGGGTGTGGTTGTGGTGGGGGTGGTAAAACCACGTCTTAACCATGGGATTTTATCACCCTCCAAATTGCAAATTTAAAAGAACCCTTACTGTTCTGAGCCCCATATAAGGCTGCTTTCATACTGATGTGCTGCAGTTTACCTGCATAAGAGATGGAGTGCAGCTGGTATCACTCCACATGGGACAGGAGCCAGCACTACAGAGGAGGCATCGGGCTTATGTGGCTCTTGCTCCCTACTACAGCTCCAACTTTACAAGTAGTCCCTCTGCATTGCACTCTGATGCTCTGGGATGGCTGGTCAGCAAGCTCGGACTACGATCTACCAGTCACCTGATCGCGATCTATGGGTTGCTGACCCCTAAACTAGAGTATATATACTGTATTTGAAAATTGATCAGTTGTGATGTACTGAGAGCCGGTCTCATTTCTTGAGGCCCGAAAATGCCATGACAGTACAAGCACATCCCAAATGACCATTCCTTTGGAAAGTAGACAGGCCAAGGTATTGATAAGATGCATGGTGACTTTTTTGAAGTTTTATTTTTTTTTGTCACAATTTTTTTTACATACTGTGCAGTACAGCATCAATTTTTTAAACTTTTATTACTATTTTTGTTAACATAATTTCATCAGAGTAGTTTAGTGTCACCATAGTGACACTGTACTACTCTTGTGGGGGGGGTGATCAGGGATTTTGTTTTAATTCGTTTACACTGCATATATACACTGTATTGTGTATACAGTGATGATCACTGTATAAAAAATAGTTTTAGCTGTCATGAATGGGTTAACATTCATGTACAGCTTGCTTATGGTTATGATCTGTGACTGGCTGCAGCCAATCACATTGTACAAGTAGCTAGGTACCATGTGTTTGTTGTGGGCCAATCACAGATCACAACCGCAAGCAAGCTGTTTATGAATGGAAAGCCATTCATGACAGTTTGTTTACATTGTTATCATGTGATTGTTATGACCAATTATAGCGATCACATGATATCCAGTACCTGGTTTATCGGGAATTGTGATCTGCTGTGTCCATCACAGGAATAGCACGCTGTGCACCCCTAACCTGAAACAGGCTGGATGGTGTACTGCACATGTACGTCATCCAGCCTGCTCATGCTATCCTTCCGCAGTAAATGTACCGTGGCCGGGTGGCAACCGGTTAAGTCTAAGGGCCTGTTTCAACATCAGGACTGCTACTCTCCCGATACAAGCCAAATGAATTTAAAAGGACAAAAGCAGATTAGTGGAAGTTGAAAATGTGGATGTTAGTGCAAACAAAAAAAAGTTTCATGGGCGGGTTGTTTTTGAGATGGAATATAAAAGCTTAAAGAATATGTAAACCAACATTTCATATTCCTGGTATTTCCCTGCTATGCCATGTACTGGTATGAAAAAGTATCCTGTTCTCTTTGTATTGCTTATTTTGTGTGAAATCCATGGTGTTCCCACCAGTCCCTCTGCTTTCTTATTAAAAACTGACCACACTAAGCTAGAGAACACACCATGGTCAGTTATCTAGCTATGCTTAGAACCCAGCCTGCTCTCCTCAAATGATCAGACTTGTCCTGCTACACCCCCCCTGCACAACCTTTAACTGGGAAGTTCATTGTACTGTTGTTTCTCCTCCCCCAGCATATATGCAGCTAGGAACAGACAGAATTTGATCAATTATAAAAAAAAGAGAAAAAAAAAAAGGCATTTTTATTTATTTTTATATCAATATACAAATGTTTTGCTTTTCATTTCTATTATAACCACTTCCATACAGGGCACTTTTATCCCTTTCCTGCCCAGGCAATTTTTCAGGTTTCAGCACTCTCATGTTTGAATGACAATTGCGCTGTCATACAACACTGTACCCAAACTAAAATTTTATCATTTTCTTCAACCAACTAGAGCTTTCTTTTGGTGGTATTTAATCAACACTGGGGTTTTTATTTTTTGCTAAATTAACAAAAAAAGACCAAAAAATTTGAAAAAAACAAAAACACGTTTTTCTTTGTTTCTCTTATAAAAGTTTACAAATAAAAAATTGTTCATCATAAATTTAGGCCAAGATGTATTCTGCTACATGTCTTTGGTGAAAATAACCCAAATTAGGATGTATTATTTAGTTTGTAGGAAAGTTATAGAGTTCACAAACTATGGTATAGATCTGAAAACTGATCAATCCTGAAGTACTGACAGCCAATCTAATTTCTTGAGGTCTAAGAATGTCAGAACAGTACAGATATCCCCCATATGACCCCTTTTTGCAAAGTAGACAGTCCGACGTACTTCATAATAGGCATGGCGAGTTTTTTGAAGTTGTAATTTTTTTGTCATAATTTTTCGGAAAATGAAAAAAAAATTAAAAAAAATATTTTCTCAATTGTTTTTTACATACTGTCACCAGTGCAGTACAGTGTCATCATATAACTGGTATGGTGGTGAACAGGGACACTGACTGGTCACAGTACGAAAAAAAAATTTGATAATTTTTTTAATTTTTTTTAAATTTTATTGGTTTTAATTTTTTATTACTTTTTTCTCTTTAAGATTTTTTCTTTCATATTTCACTATGTCCAAAGTAATATAATGTTACCATAGTAATATTGTACTACTTTGGGGAAGTGATTTTTTTTTTTTTTTTTTTTTTTTTACACAATTTGCTTATAGCAAAGAATTACTTTGCTATAAGCAAGCATTTACCTGAATGACATTGATTCTTTTTTTTTTTTGTGCTTAGCTGTGATTTGGCTATGGCTGATCACATGACATAGATGGGCTGTGATTGGCCCACCTTGTGCATGTGATTGCTGTGACCATTCACAGCTAGACACACTTGAAAGGAGACCATCCATTGTATACAACTGTCATGTGACCTGCTGTGATTGGTCACAGCAGGTCACATGGTACTGGCAACGGGGCCAGTACACAGATCTGTCATCGGCCGTGTCCGAGGTACACAGCCATTGACAGATCGTGCCACAGAGCGGCCCTGCAGGCAGGAGCACTGCGTGTGCCTGGAAAGGACGCCGGAGGGACGAGTTGTTCGCACGGCCGCCATCTGGCTATAGGCCGGGCGACAACTGGTTAAACCAAATAAGTTGTTTTGCAAGGTGAGGGTTTACAATCACTAACTCCAGGATAAGCAAAAGAATGCATTACTTCCAGATTTGTGCAGTAATTCAGTGTAAAACCTGCATAGGAGCTTCCTGTAATAAAGATCAGTCACTGTTCTTCTCTCTCCTTGTGCAGAGTGACCGGTCCTGACTTTGACCCCCTCTTGTATTTATTTTGAGAACCTGCTAGGTCCTGCTCACAGTTTTGTTCTCTGCACAGGCAAAGTGATGATATCACTGTTACGTTTGCAAGGTAATAATTGTGTTTTCAAAGGCACTTGGTGCACACACACAGTAGATTTATATTCTTTAAGGATAACGTGAAATATATTTAGGTGAAAGTTTTTGTGCTTAAAGTTCAGTTTTAGGATTTTTAGCAGATAGCCAGCTGTGACGTGTTCTCTTTAATGATGGGGAATGTAAAATATCCTTCTGTTACCTGTAAGAATTTGATGTGTTCATCAGAACAGTCATCCAAATCTGTGAGTCGTACTGTGACAGATGTTCCCGTAGGAGTATGTTGAGCGAGGTAGATTGTAGTTAAATTGTTGAAACCTTTCCCTGTAAGATCCAAATGAATATGTTCAAAACTAATTTTAACAACAAAAATATGTATAACATGCAAAATACAAAGCTGAAAGTGTGTGAGTAGATCATGTTCTCAGCATGTAAATTTTAGCAAGCAGTATCTTTTCAAATCCTATCAGAGGACAACTAGAAAATGCAGTTCTTTTAACAGTAGCACATTAACCGTTAATGAACAACTTTCAGTTGTTTTGCAAAAGCATTCCCAATGGCACTCCTGCATTTAACTTTTCAAAAGGCAGGAAAAGTGGTCTGGTAAAGGTAAACAAATGTTATGCCTCCCAGATCACTACTTTAAAGTAGGTTTAGCTGCATTTAGAGTTTCTACTTACATCCTGGAGGCACATAATTCTATATATACTACAAACGCAGCTAAACTGACTCACACCTAAATTAAGGGAAAATACTCATGTGAAGGGCACAACTGAAAAATCATCACATGCATTTATATGTGTTTTAGGAATGCCATCTAAATGCACATGAATGTAGGTTTGACAGCACCAGTTTGAAGGAAGCCTAAAGATGGAAACAATAAAATGTGAAGAAGTGTAAAAAAAAGCACTACAGATCTTTTGCTAAAATGGAGGCTTCAAGAGACCCTGTCACTTTGCCTTTTCAGGAGAAAGTGACAGTGCCTCCTGATGGCTCACCTCCCCCAGCAAGGTACAACGACTGATGCCACCTCCGAGCTGCAGGAATTTACCCTTGGTAAACTCTGTTGTTCAATGGTGTTTCAGCTCACCCAAGTGGATGACATTACTGCCCCACCTACGTCACCATGTTCAGGTCTGGCAACTAGACACTCGTGCCCGAGCAACGTCACATGAGAAACTAAACATGTATTCTTGTACCTAGAAGCCCCACTCCATTACTGCAACAGAACAGTGGCACTCATAGATAAAGAGGTGGCGAAGAAGTTGGAATCATTGAGTTTAACTTATTACGGCTGTGAGATGTCAAGAGAAATTGTTACTTTGGCCTGAATGGGCAACATAACAGGATCTGTTTAAAACTAAGTTATGCTACATTATCTGGAAGAGTAAATATGAGAACAAGAGTACCGAGTTCCTCCTGGAGCTCATAGCTGGAGGCTTCAAGGGAGCATACTGGAACGTCATGCCCTCCCACAACAGGAGCAATCCAGCACTGAGGCAGCTCGCCTGCCTGAAAGAAAGAACAGAGTATTTCAGAAACCATACAGCTATTAGCTTCTACATATGTAGCATGCACATTTAGCTTTAGCATCAGCTATTACTTAACTATACTAATTGTTTCCATTAACAGCCAAAGGTAACCAGTTAGATTGACTTTACTTTTAGACCATAAACCCTGCAATATATAATGAAAAACAAAAGACATTTCATTACCCAGTGTGGATAGATGCTGGAAGTCGATTCTTTACTCTGGCTTAAAGATTTTACAGGTGTCCGTCTCAGGCAGGAGCAGTCCTGTAGTAAAAACATGTCTGTGAACTGTTAAAGAAGATCATTTACATAGCACTTTCAGGCTCCACGCACATTAGCATTTTGTTAGGCTCCCAGAAGCTGTTATTAGCATTTTTGTCTGCTCCTAGAAGCTAAATAGTGTTATCCTATGTGAGCATGCACACTACTTTAGGCCAGGGCTCAAAATTTCAAGTCCTAAGCTACTAGCCAGGACTTGAGAGTTACTCGCCACCAGTTGCCCCATCCAACCCCTACCCTGCCCCACCCCCCCTAAACACGCCCCATAAATTATCTCATGAAATGGCACTGTTAAATGTTTTATGCAGAGGGAAGGAAGGAAGAAAGGAAATGGAAGCAAGGCAGGGGTGGAAGGAAGAAAGGGAGGGAGGGGTGGAAGAAAGGGAGAAAGGGGTGGAAAGAAAGTGATAGAGGGGTGGAAGGAAGGGAGGCAGAGAGGGAGAAAAGGGTGGAAGGGAGGGAGGGTGGAAGGAAGGAAAGAAGGAAGGAAGGGGTGGGTGGAAGGAAAAGATCATACCTGATCGTTCCGTTTCTTTCCTGGCCCCCTTTCTTCTGTGTGCTCCTCAGTGCTCAGCCCCTCCCCCTATCCACCACATCAATAGGAGACTGGACACTGAGGAGCACACGGGGGGGGGGGGGGGGGGGAGAAACAGAACGGTCAGGTATGATCTGGTGTGCAGCGGTGACAAGCAGCGATCTCCTGTATGGCTTTCAGTGAAGCAGCTGGAAGCCTCTTCTCCTCCTCTCCCTCCTGTGGCTTTCAGCTGTTTCAATGAAAGCCATACAGGAGATCGCTGCTTGTCAAAACCCCCACCCCTCACACATACCGCTAGTCCCGGCGCTACTCGCCCCCACCTTTTGAAGCCTGCTTTAGGCTAGTAGCATGTTTTTCAGCTTCAGCATCTAGGAGCAGAAAACAAATGTTTTGGTAGAGTTAATTGGAGCGTTTTTCCAGCAGAAAAAACATTAAATGCTCTTAAACACTACTAAAGCACTCCTAACATCTTTGTTCTAGGTTTTTTATTCCGACATTGACTGTAAAAATGCTAATAAAATGCTAACTTTTCTAAATGCTTTTGAACTCTACTAAAAACAGCTATTACCAGCAATTTTTAGCCAGCGTTTTTTGAGCTTAAAAAAAGCTAGTGTGCATGGAGCCTTAAAGTTTGGCATTTGAGCATAGTATTGTTACATTATATTATTGTTACATTGTTTAATCTGTCTATATGTAAAACAAATTGTTATGCTTTTAAAATATACAAGTTTTTTTTCTTTTGGCAGGGGTTTGGCTAATGTAAGACCATACCATTGCTTTATAGATGGGCCCCTAAATGTTCTTGCAGGAGCAAAATAGTAACACATTTTCTTCACTTCACCTTAATGGATATTGAGCTGGCTGGAGCCTGGATCATATAATATACCCCTTAAAAAGGCATTCCAGAACTTATGCCTAATATTAGGTGTCAGCCCAATAGAAAACTATACTGACGTCTACAGTGGCTTGAAGAGTAATACACAGGGTGCAGGTCCTCAACCCCTCTAAATTGGCAGACTGGAAATTAGGAATCAGGGCCTTAGAAACAATTAACTATTATGGCAAATCTTGGCATTCACTGAAACATGCCTCCTCAGGAAACTGACATTTTATATCATTGCCTGTAGGGAATCTTTCCCTCTCCAGCATCAACCTACTAAACTATAGGCTGACATGTAGATGAGGGCTGTGGTAGACACTGAATCTACTTTCTTGCATATAGCGGAGGATTTATCTATTTCTGAATGCTCATGGCTCATTCGCCAAAATTACTTTGACATCTACAGATGATTATTTTTTGGCTGCAACAGTATATATAACAATATACACTATATTGCCAAAAGTATTGGGACGCCTGATTTTACACGTCCATGAATTTTAATGGCATTGCATTCTTAGTCCTGTAGGGTTCAATACCGAGTTGGTCCACCCTTTGCAAATTTAACAGCTTCAACTCTTCTGGGAAGGCTGTCCACAAGGTTTAGGAGAGTGTCCATGGGAATGTTTGACCATTCTTCTAGAAGTGCAATTGTGAGGTCAGGCGCTGATGTCAGATCAGAAGTGTATAACAATATACACTATATTGCCAAAAGTATTGGGAAGCCTGATTTTACACTCCCATGAACTTTAATTGCATCACAATCTTAGTCCGTAGGGTTCAACACTGAGTTGGCCCACCCTTTGCAGATTTAACAGCTTCAACTCTTCTGGGAAGGCTGTCCACAAGGTTTTGTAGTGTGTCCATGGGAATGTTTGACCATTCTTCTACAAGCTCATTTGTGAGGTCAGGCACTGATGTTGGATGAGAAGGCCTGGCTCGCAATCTCCGCTCTAATTGATTCCAAAGGTGTTCTATCGGGTTGAGGTCAGGACTCTATGCAGGCCAGGCAAGTTCCTCCACCCCAAACTTGCTCATCCATGTCTATATGGACCTTGCTTTGTGCACTGGTGCACAGCCATGTTGGAACAGGAAGGGGACATCCCCAAACTGTTCTCACAAAGTTGGGAGTTAAGAGTTCCCTTCACTGGAACTAAGGGGCCAAGCCCAACCCCTGAAAAACAACCCCACACCATAATCCCCCCTCCACCAAAATTTACACTTGGCACAATGCAGTCAGGCAAGTACAGTTCTCCTGGAAACCACCAAACCCAGACACATCCATCAGATTGCCAGCCAGAGAAGCGTGATTAATCACTCTAGAGAATACGTCTCCACTGCTTTAGAGTCCAGTGGCGGCGTGCTTTACACCACTGCATCCAACGCTTTGCATTGCACTTGGCGATGTAAGGCTTGGATGCAGCTGCTCGGCCATGGAAACCCATTCCATGAAGCTCTCTATGCACTGTTGTGCTAATTTAGCTATTGACTCTGCAGACAGTTGGCGACTTCTGCACACTGCATGCGCTGACCCTGCTCTGTCATTTTACAAGGCCTACCACTTCGTGGCTGAGTTGCTGTTATTCCCAGTTGCTTCCACTTTGTTATAATACCACAAACAGTTGACCGTGGAAAATTTAGTAGCAAGGAAATTTCATGAATGGACTTCACAGTACCACGCTTGAATTCGCTGAGCTCCTGAGAGCGACCCATTCTTTAACAAATGTTTGTAGAAGCAGTCTGCATGCCTAGGTGCTGCTTCATTTTATACACCTGTGGCCATGGAGGTGATTGGAACACCTGAATCCAATGATTTGGAGGAGTGTCCCAATACTTCTGGCAATACAGTGGGGCAAAAAAGTATTTAGTCAGCCACCAATTGTGCAAGTTCTCCCACTTAAAAAAGATGAGAGGGGTCTGTAATTGGCATCATAGGTAGACCTCAACTATGAGAGACAAAATGAGAAAAAAAATCCAGACAATCACATTGGCTGATTTGGAAAGAATTTATTTGCAAATTATGGTGGAAAATAAATATTTGGTCACCTACAAACAAGCAAGATTTCTGGCTCTCACAGACCTGTACC